ATCCCATAATGTGCACGTCTCTCTTATCTGTGTAAACAGTTTATTTTCACCACATTGTTACTGTCCTCTTTTTTTTTTTTTACCAGTTCCATTATTACAGTTTTTAATTTCGGTGATTATTTCCGCTCCATTATATTACATCTCATTACAGTTGTCTGTCTTGCTTCCTTTTAATTCCTTTTTATTGGGGTCCATCTAAAACATGAAATGCTCACAAGTCATATCTACACTGAGGCCACAAAATGGGAGTACATATTGCTTCATTTTAAGAGGTTACAAGCAAAACAGGCAGGCGCACAATGGACTGGACACTAACATGCTGGAGTTTCAGTCCAGCAGGAGAAGCTTAACAAAGTGACAACATCTGTGTGCAGCGGACAATTTCAGTCTGTCACAGTCAATAGAAGAACTGCATGTGAACTAAACTAACAGCCACAGTCCTCTGATGTAGTAAATACAAAAAGTTAAATTTGTGTTGCAAATTGTAACATCTACACGAGGACGTCATAACTCCGTCAGGACAGAACTTCACCATCACTGACATCAGACCTGAACACAAATATTACTGTGAAGCCCAGAACAAAAGAGGACGTCTTAACTTCACTTTACATTTGACTGTTGTGGCAGGTACGTTTTTCACTTCACTTACACATGTACACATCAACATCTTAATCCACCATATGATGAAAAGTGGGGAGATTAAGGTTAAAAATGCAACTTGCTGAGTAGAAACCAGTAAGGCATTTTGTCATAACACTATTTCAGCAAATAATTTACTTGTAAACGTGATTAAATACATTTTGGATAGAATCTAATTATATGCAGGTTTCATGAAAGAGGTACATTGAGCTTCATTTTGTCGTCTCTCCCATCAGTTAGACTCTGGTCCTGCGTATGACGTCTCAGACTTGAAGGGCGTCACTGCAGCACAGAAGACACAGAGCAGCAGGAAGACATGGTGTGAAGTCCAGTCAGGTTAGAGCCTCCTGCATCCAATAAAACAGGCCGACTTCAGATTTACAGTTAAATTTAAAAACAATAATCTGTCTATCACAACATCCAGCTCTTCATAATGTGCAACAGACAGCTGGGCAGGACAGGTAAAAAAAAAACACAAATCAACATGTTAAGAATATTTTTTATTTCTTTTTTGCATGAAAGAATATACGGTTAAGAATAACAGTGTAAAAGTAAAACCACTAACACCTACCTGATTATCCATATCATCAGTGAGTGTATGTGTATTAACTAATGTAATACAGCTGTGAAGTAACAATATTGGTGTACTGTCAGTAAGTATCAGTAAAATATGGAATTGAGAGTATTTGTCATGCTCAAGTTTATCTTCATGGTAAAGTGAGTTTTTGAAGCCATTTTCATCAGTCAATTAGTTAAAAGTTGCATCTTACAGTTTCAGGGCTGTGTGTCTTTATAGAGCCACAATGAGCATCAACTTTCTAACTTTGGTGACTCTCAGTGATAAGAAGCAAAGAAAATACACTGTGGTGTTAGAGAGAAATGCACACCGGTAGATCTGACCTGGGGATAATGGGGTGGACAGGCTGAAAGCAACACACAGTCTGGAGCTGCAATGATTAATTGCCAACTATTAAATTTATCGCCAACTATTTTGATAATCCATTCATTGGTTAGAGTAATGTTTCAGTATCTGTGATGTTTCACTGCCCTCTAGTGGTGAACCTTTGTTATGGCACATTCAGGGTTCCTCACTCTGAGAGCTCCCTCCACTGCCTGTTTCAAAGAGTCACTTCACCCAAATTGCAACAAGACATATTTTCTGTCTTACCTCCAGCAGCATCTTGTCAGATGTGCTCTGTGTTACAGTGACACAGAGTCACAATGACTGTGAGTGAGAGAGCTGCAAAATGTAATTCATTGTTTCTGATCTACTTTTCTTACATGTTTCTCAATACTGAATAAACACTGAGCTCAGCACGTGACTTTTTACATCCCATACTGCTGCAGTCCATCTCTTTGAACTCATACTGGTATAAAGGTTATTTCACTGTCTAAAGATGCACTAGACGTGTCAAGTAATGCATGAAACCAACTTTCACGCCTGTCTGTTCTCTTTTCTCTTTTCTTGTGTCAGTAGGAAGCAGCAAACAGGTTTAATACCAACAGGGCATAACAATATTTTCTTATTCTCTCTTATTAAGTTCTTAGTTTGCTTTATTTTGATGTTGGTGTTAACTGGCATTTGGCTCATCATGAATATTAATAATCTAAAGAGGAAGGAAATCTAGTAGTTTAACAGCCTGATATCCGTGTTCTGCTTGCTGACACAGAGGAAGGCTTCTTTAAAGACAACACCCTTCTTCATTGTAAGTAGAATAGTTTATTGATGTGACTGATACTGTATATCTGCCTTGTAAATTATTTTATCTGCTGACATGTTTTATTGTCTCTGAAGCCACACAGAGAGATGAGAGGAGCAGCTATGAGTTTAACTGCAGCAACAAGTGGATTTGTTGTCTTCCTTCTCTCTGTGTCAGGTACTGAATATCTAAACTTATATTTATTGCATTAAAAGAGAGGAATCTGGGAAATGTAGGTGTTGTAAAAGTAGGCTGAAGGTCAGATGTGAAAATAAGTGGATCAGAAAGTATCAGGATCAGTTGTTCACACTGTATGATGAAAACAAACAGTTTAGGGGGTATTTCCTAATTTCATTGTCCTGCTTGCGCTAATACAAATGTATATTGAACAGTGTGAGTTCATTTTTCCAGAGCTGATGCTGCCTAAACGATGTTAGCACTATGCTGTGTTATTGTCGCATTGAATGAAGACGTGCAATGCAATTTAACGCACCAAAGCGTCGGCTTGTTCCATTATCCAACTTGTACAATGGAAATTAGACAAGAAAGTGTAAACCGGAAACAGAGACTTCAAATAGTTCCTATTTGAAGCTACTTTTATCACAAGGTTTTAGAGAGATAGGCCTACTGGTCTCACACAGTGAAGTCATACTGACACAACTTCTCTCATATCTTCATCTGCAACTCCTGCTAGTTCCTTTTGTAATGTCTGACCTCAGTGTGATGTTTCTGTGCTCTGTGTTGACAGCAGCAAGGTCCAAAAATAACTTTCTTTTCTGCCTGCCACTGTGACAAGCAGGTATTTTTTGTCACACACAAACACACAGAAATTGTATCTGTCAATTTAGAAATGCACCAAGATAAACTAAATGAACATTCTGCTCATTTAGGCATATTGTAATTGTAAATAATGTTATCATTCAAATTTTAAACACAAAAAACATTGTGCATGTCTTTTAGTACATGACATTAATTTCACTTAACCTAACAATCACTAACAGCCTGATATTTCAAAGGCAGCCTAACACTCAGTTAAACCACCAATGAATGGGTCCATATCTCTATAAAAACGTCCTCTTCTGGATCCCAACAAGCAAACAAAAAACTCCTTTCAATACAAAAGTTGGCCAACAAAAATAAAACCAAGTGATGTCTCTTGTCTCTGATTAACAAGCTTATGATTCTCCATCAACACCGGAGTTCCCTCCTGTTGTCTGGCCGGTGCTGCTGGTAAGCTCACCGGCTGTCACTCAGGAGGGACTGGGCCTCTTCCACTGCTGAGTTTGGTTCAAACACCGCCACAGATATTACCTGAGCTGACTGCTCTGTGTGTCTTGTGTGTGAGGCAGGGGTGTGTACCGATCACCATAATAGGCTACACTAAACTTACTACACGTGTCTTTCTGTTGAACGTTTTCTCTGTCTGCCAAAATGGCGGATGGTCTGACGATCTGCCAAAAATTTACCCTCATTCAGCGGGTGCTAAAGTCAGAGATCTTGATAGCAGTTTTCTGCATCTTATATTTAGCTGCTAGAAACTCTCCCACACCTCAGTGCGCTGTATTTATTTTTAGCTTTCACACTTAACTCTGCAGCAACCTGACTGCAGAGTGAACAGAGAAAACTGACCAAGAAAAGCACAGACTCTCTAATAATTTATATTTCTCCTCTTATCCCGGTCAGTAAACTGCATTAAAGGTCACAGGTCTGATACTTTCCTGTTCACTTCACTGCACCTTCAGACTGGATGATGTCCTGCCTCAGTGCACATAGAGATGAACTGTAGAAAGCATGTGTACATCTTCCTTTGCACTGACTGTGTATAACTGAGCAAGACTTTGTGTTTAGACTTCTCTCTGTTCACCCTGGTTTTATTCAGAAATAACATCAAAAGTCATAAAGCTTTAAGTAATTAGAACAGGAGTTAGGAAGTGCTGGGAGAAGAATGATACAGAACAAGTGAGTATTTTATGTACCACTGTTCTGCTGCTCCATCCCAGAAAAGAGAGTAAAATGTCATTTTATTAACTTTCTGTTTGGATTACTTGTGTGTTGACACATAAGCATTTCAGGCATTTTGTTTAGATTTTTTGAATGAATGGACCCAAGCAGAAACACCCAGAAGTAACTTGTCACAACATTAAAATATGACAAACACCGTATAAACTTTCTGTGACAATGACTGCAGATAATTCAGGATTTTGAAGCTTGTCCAGGTTACGTTTCCCTCAAACCATATTGGTAGTTTGATCCACTTTGTCTGTTATTAATGTTGATTGTTTCTGATGTGCTCTGTGTTACAGTGGTACAGAGTCAGTATGACTGGGGAGTGACTTACACTTCTACTAAGATCTGTGCCTTCAAAGGATCAACAGTGGACATAAGCTGCACCTACAGATACCCATCCAGAATAAATAACCACAAAACTACAGTTGAGAAAACATTCTGGTTTAAAGGTGATAAAATTGTGGATCTGAAAACAAAGTCAGAGTATTCAGGTCGTGTGGAGTATAACTGTGATATGAACTACTGCACTCTGAGAGTCACAGACCTGAGAGAGAGCGACTCAGCTGAGTACAAGTTCAGGTTCATAACAAACCAACCAGGTGGGACATATACTGGTTCACCTGGAGTCACTCTGTCTGTCACAGGTAACATTTTCATCTGAATATTTATTAATTTAGTTCCAAATGTTCAACATCTTATGAAGGTTACTGTGTTTCTATGTTGACAGTTCAGTCTAAAATGAAGATTTCTGTTCCTTATTCACAGATTCAGATCTCCAGGTGCAGGTGAGCAGATTTCAGGGGTCTTCTAACTGGGCAGAGCTGAAGTGTCACAGCAGTTGTCTTCCACCTGGTCATCATTACTACGTCTGGTACAAGAATGGACAGAACATTTGGGGACAAACATCTAATTCTTATTCAGCCTACTTTGATCCTGCAGACAGTTTTTCCTGTGCTTTAGGAGGATATGAGAAGTCCCGCTCTCCTTCAGTGTGTGAGTTTACATCCAGTCTTCCACTGACATGACACCATCTGGTGGAGCCTTTAACCTTTTGTACTGCACATTAACTGCATGTAACTCAGTGGTATTCGGTGATTCACTGTAGAACTGGATGTAAACCAAATCATTTCCCCATGAGATTGTAGACATGTTGCATAATTATTTTTTATTCACTGTCTTTACTGCAAAATTAAACTGTAAAATAACTCACAATGAAAATGTATTAAAACAAGATTTGTTATCTTGTCTTTAGACTTTTTAAATTAAATAAAAATAAAACTTGTCCATCAGAGAAATTCCCTGATTATCTGTTCTTGTATCTTTAATGTATCAAAGAGTTCAACTTGTATCCATGGTAACAGAAACCCATGCTGTTTCTGATACACAAGGAAATCAAGCTGCACCACCGAAATGAAATAATGCTCCACTGTGAAAACTCAACCTCATGTTGAAATTAAATGTTAAAAGTGTTCATGTTTTCTCCTCCAGATGCTCCAAAGCTTCCCTCTGTGTCAGTGAGTCCCTCTGCTGAGATAGTGGAGGGCAGTTCAGTGACTCTGACCTGCAGCAGTGATGCTAACCCAGCAGCTAAATACACCTGGTACAAGGAGAACCAAACACTGCTCAGTAAAGAACCACAGCTTGTCTTCAGGTCCATCCAGTCCTCTGACTCTGGAGAGTATTACTGTGAAGCTGTGAATGATCTGGGGAGGACATCTGGATTTGTCTCTATTAACGTGCAATGTGAGTAAAACGCAGCTAATTTAAGAACAACACATAATTTAATTAATGACAACTTTTTAAAGCTTAATTATCCAGTCAGATGTTTTGCTGATCATGCACTTTCTTCAGCTCCGCCTGTTTCACATTCACATCAGCTACAACAGATGATTAAAGGCGGTTTTATTTCGAGTGAACGCTGAGTCAATGTTGAGTTCAGCTCAATGAATAGAGGGGTAGTACTTTTCTCATTGATACCTTGAATCATTTCCAAAATATTCAAGATTTTCCAGCAACACTTTGTAAGTGAATGGAGTGAAGGATTAAATCCTCCTCATCCCTACTCAACTCTGTAAGGGTACTAGTTCAGCACACTTTCAGCTACAGACTTGATTTAAACTTTAAATTGGTCACAAGATGCCAGGTCTGGATTGGGACCAAAATTCGGCCCTGGCAATGTGGTTTTCACCGGCCCAACAAAGTGATGACGTTAAAAAAAAAAACGTCCCCTGAATCTGGACATTTTCCCCACTGAGACACCATACAAGGCAGCAATGACTCTCACACTGTAGGCGTACACGGCAAGGCGCATAGACTGCAGTCTATACACACACATTCACACGCACACGCGAGCATGACACAGCAGCCAGACGCACACGCGATCATGGCATGGCGGGCAAAAACACACAACACAACTGATCAAGAAAGATAAAGCACCATGACCAATCAGTTATGAGCAAACCACAATGAAATACATGATAAAAAGAAGCATGTCCTATCTTATTAAATCAGCAGCCGTTGCATCAGCGCTCTTCTCTGCCACCCTTTTAATGATGCAATCCATGTCCAAAGAAACCAGAGTCTCCTTTTCGATTGCCATCAACATAAAGTTTTCAAGGTTCAAGGCTCCTGTGAATTTTAACGTGGAAAAGCTTCGCTCACATGCAACTTGTGTCCCAGACAGAGTTAACAGAAGCTTGTATCACAGTCCGATTAGATGGTAGGAGTCAGTGAGCAGGTTATGCCTTTGTAGGACATAATAACAACAGAAGGGACACTTTCTGCAAGATTGGCATGTTGTGTTCACAACATCTGATTCTTCATCTGGGGTCTGCTCATCATCTCCATCCTCAGTACTCATCTCTCATCACTTCAGCTTGTCCCAGTGCGTGGCCAGGCTAAGTAATAATAATAATCCTTATTTGTAGAGCACTTTTCAAAAACAAGTTACAAAGTGCTTTAACAATTGCAAAGAATAATACAAAAAAAGATAAGAGCATGAAAATTTAATATAAAATTAGTAAAATACAATAAAATAAAAGGGATAAAATAAAGTCAAATAAGATCGGGAAAAGCTCTCCTATAAAAGTATGTTTTAAGAAGGGACTTAAAAGAGTTCACTGACTCAGCCGACCTGATTTCCTCGGGCAGGCTGTTCCAGAGCCTCGGGGCCCTGACAGCAAACGCTCTGTCCCCTTTAGTTTTCAGTCGAGACTCTGGAACAGACAACAGACCTCTGCCCGAGGATCTCAAGGTACGTGCTGGTGCGTATGGGACTAAAAGGTCAGAAATATAACAAGGCGAGAGGCCATGAAGAGCTTTAAAAGTGATCAATAGAATTTTAAAGTCAATTCTAAAACATACTGGGAGCCAGTGTAATGAAGCTAAAATAGGAGTAATGTGGTCATATTTCTTTGTTCTGGTTAAAAGCCTGGCAGCTGAGTTCTGGACAGTCTGGAGTCGATCAATAGATTTTTGGGTTAAACAGGTGAAAAGGCTGTTGCAATAATCCAGGCGTGATGAGATGAAGGCGTGTAAAATGGTCTCGGTGTCCTTAAAAGTTAACATAGATCGAATTTTAGCTATATTTCTAAGTTGATAAAAACATGATTGAACAAGCTTTGTGGTGTGCTGCTCGAAATTTAAATTACTATCAAACCAAACACCAAGGTTCTTTGCCACAGGCTTAATGTGATTTACTAGGGAACCAGCAGATGGCAGTATTTGATTTGCCATCTGCTGGGACCCGATGACCAGGATTTCTGTTTTGTCTGAGTTCAGCTGGAGGAAATTATTTGACATCCATTTTTTAACTTCACAAAGGCAGTTGTTAAGTGAACTCAGCATTCCAGGGTCTGTGGATCTGACGGGCAAGTATATTTGTGTGTCATCAGCATAAATATGAAAAGAAATGCCATGTTTATGGATAATATGTCCAAGGGGAAGCAGATACAAGGAAAACAAAATGGGTCCTAAGACCGACCCCTGAGGCACACCATATTTAACTGGACAGAATGAAGAGACATAGTTGTTTACAGACACGCAAAACTTCCTATTTGACAGGTAGGATGAAAACCATTCTAGAGCAGTACCAGAGATCCCCACCCAGTGCCTCAGTCTGTCTAACATGATGTTGTGATCAATGGTGTCAAAAGCAGCGCTAAGGTCCAGGAGTACAAGGACTGAGCACATACCTTCATCAGCAGACATTAAAAGGTCATTGGTGACTTTAAGCAGGGCAGTCTCAGTGCTGTGGTACTTCCTAAAACCAGACTGAAACTTTTCAAATATTTTGTTATTTTCCAGCACAGTGAGCAGCTGTTTGGACACAATTCTTTCTAGAATCTTTGCAGTAAAAGGCAGTTTTGAAATTGGTCTAAAATTTTGTGGGAGGGAGGGATCTAAACCAGGTTTCTTTAAAAGTGGGTTCACGCAAGCCGTTTTAAAATAATCAGGGACACAACCAGTAGATAGGGAGCTGTTGAAAACAGAGATCAAATGGGGCCCAACAGAATCTATTACTTTTAGTAAAAATTTTGTAGGTATTATATCAAGTGGGCTGGAGGACACTCTCATTTGTGATATTGTTTTTAAAAGCTCAGACAAGTCGATGGGATAAAACTGGTTAAAACTCTGTTGTTGCTGGTGAGGAACCTCTGAGTAAGAGGCCACGGGGGTAATAGAGGCTCTGATTGACACCACCTTATTGGTAAAATAAGATAAAAACAATTCACAGTCATCATGTAGTAGTTCAGCCTGTAAGGCCTCGGGAGTTTCTCTGCTATCGAGCCTGATCAGTTTGGCGCTCAGGGCACTGACTGCACCTGCAGGTACACCGTTACATTTCAAGCCATTGAAGTTCTGGGGATCAAGCAGGGCGAAATCTGTGTACAGTTCTCTGTTTTTAGCAAAACGTCGGGAAATACTTTCAATGATGGAATCCAGAATGACATTGTGCACTTGTACCTCATACTTGCTGTCAGCATCTGATATGGCTGTATCATCACATAACTCGCCTGGCATCCTTTTTGTCTTCTTTGGTCTCCGGTTTGGCAGCGTGTGTTCCAGCTCTGTGTCTGTCTCACACACATTTAATTCTCTATTGGCCCATTGCACAAATGCATCTGTTGCTGCCTTTACCCTCTTAAAATCCCTTGCATATTTTTTCATATTGTCATGTTTGCTTGTGACAAAGTGATGGGCTGTGAGCAAATCCTTTCTACTTGTTTTTAAATACTTGGAAAGTGGAGTTGTTTGTTGGAAGATGTGTAAAAATGTCTGGACAGTGAGGATGGTTTGGTATTTCAGCAGAGCCTCTGCATAAGCATCGGAATTTGCACGCACCGTCGGCTTCTTGTTATCTTTCTCGCTCAGGGTCTTGAGTGTAACAACAAGATTAATGTAAAGACATCCCTCTGGATCCCCAAACTTCCCAAACACTGTTGTAAGCGCAGCGTCTTTGGCCTACCATCGAGTTTCGCCAATTGGTGACAGCCGCCTGTGCCGCACATCTTTGCTCACATCCTCCCATGCATTCATCCTTTTGATATGAATCTCGCTGGAAAACAGCGATGTCGTTTAACAAAGAAAAAAGTGATGCGCTCGATAGATTTTTCTTTTTACAATTTGTTTTTATGGCGGGTTGAAAATACAGTCTGAAACAATTTGTATCCCACTACAACTTTTTCCAGGAAAATAGAAACTTCTCCATAATCACCCCTGTTATTATGTGAATATACACAAAATTAAATACTTGATGGTAGGCCGTCATCTGTGTGTTATGGACGGGGATACATATTTTGGCAGTCTGCATGTCCAGCCTGGTAGGACTGAAAATAATCAGGATCAGAAAGAGCTTTATTACCAAGTAGTATTTTACATGTACGAGGAATTTGCTTTAGTGATAAGGTGCTACTCGTACACAAACATAACATAAATAAATGTAGACATATATAAATATGGAATAAACAAATAAACAAATGCAAGTAATATAAGAATAATAAAAGATGCTGTTTAAATGCAGTGCATTATTAAATTGTTATG